TTATGAACTATATATAGTCACTGTTTGAGAATGATACCTAATATGATAATTCTTATTACAAAATAATTATATATTAAAAATTATAAAACCCCTTACGCACATTAATTGTCATTTAACGATTACACTGGCACGCTTGAAGCACTTAATCAAGTAATAAAAACTTTTTAACAAAAAAATAAAGAAGTCGGTGTGCTTTGCTTTGTATGGGGCACCGATTTCGAAAATATTTGATTAGGTATGTATTTAATAGGTAGGCTTTAATTACTTAGCTGGAACCAATCTGGAAGTATACCCTTTCAAACAAAATTGTCCAAATCGGTTAATAAATGACGGAGTTCTGAGGTAACAAACATAAAAAAAAAAAACATACAGTCGAATTGAGAACCTCCTCCTTTTTGAAGTCGGTTGATTATACGCCAAAATGCCTCTCATCATTTTGGAAAAGTGCTGATACTCTTACACTGTTAGACCTGGTTTTATTATATGTATAGATTGTCTCTTGTTAGCTTTTAAATAGTTTTTTATTATATACATATAATAAAATTGTAACTAAGTCGAATCTATACATTAAATATTTTTTGTAAAATCTAATTGAAATAGACATTATTATCGATAGTCCCAATCTACAGTTTTTAAAATTTTTGATGTTACCGCATCACGAGAAAACCACTGGGCAGATTTTGATGAAATTTGGTATGATGATAGCTGGTTATCCGGGTCAACATATAGAATACTTTTCACCACGGGAAAATATCTCATTTCTGAGAAAAAATTCATATACTGCATTGTAAGAGTATACTAATATGTAAAACCTAAGAATTTGGTTTTTGGTCATTTGAACACGGGCGGAGCCGCGGGCAATGCTAGTCTAATATATAAAATTCTCGTGTCACAGTATTTGTAACAAAACTCCTCCTAAACGGCTTGACTGATTCTCATGAAATTTTGTGTGTATATTCAGTAGGTCTGACAATAGGGCGTATACTATTTTTTATACCCCTAAGTGATAAGGGTTGTCCACCCTAGGGACGAACCTGAGCGGAGCAAGGGTGGGTCGCTAGTATAACTATACATATATTCATTTGAACGTATACTGCTTAATTTTTCTCAATCTTGATTGCTACATTGCTAGAGATTTATATAGCGATTTCATTAAATATAACCTCTATACAATACAATAATTTAAACGCAGAAAAGTATATACAAATTAGTCATAAATCATAATTGTGACTCGTGAATGTTTTATCTTTTTACATTGTTTGCGTGTGCAAGAGTTGTGTTTGATTATCGTTGCCATGGCGCCTCCATCCGATAACGAGTGACTCAACAAGTAATTGCAATTTGTCTGGGCCAGTTGCAGCAAGCATTCATGTTGTTATTGCAATCGTATATTTTTGATTATTTATTTACTTCGTCCTTTGAAGTTAGATTCATATATCGTTATTACAATTTTTTTGTTTATTTGTAAGAAATCATGGTATTACTAAAATGTAATGAAATTAGATGTGGGGGAATTAGATTTATTATTAGCACTTTTGAATCGTCGATTTATTTTAAAGAGCGTCAGTGTAATCAGTCCGTGAGGAAGTTACCACCGGCTCCGTAATACGAAGCTTATATACAACCATTCTCTTCACCATTCGTGGAATAAATAATTTATTACCTCAAAATGACATTAATCAGGAAAAGTTTTAATACTCCCTTGTATCTTGATTGGCTCTGTTAATCAGACAACAAACTTTCTTGCTTAAGACTTGGAGAACTTCTTCCTCTTAACGTTTCCTTAGAAGTTTTAAGGTCATCGAAAGATAGCTTGCGTTGCTCCCATATATAATTAAAAATTAAACATTTTTACTATAAAATGTTAGCTAGTAATGTAGTTAACATGTTTGGTTCAGTTTGTAACGAGCCTACTTGCTGTGCCAGCGTTCGCGGGTTCGAATGCCGCTCGGGGCATTCATTTGTGTGTTGAGCACGAATGTTTATACTCCAGTCTTGGGTGTTTATATTTATAATGTATTTAAAGTTATATATGTGTAGTGTATCAAGTATCTGGTATCCATAACACAAGCCTCGAAGCTTACCATGGAACTAGATGGTGCTGTGTGCTATGTCCCAACGTATGAAAAAAAACATATAAAACATATATTTACACCTGTATCGTTTTTTGTATTTTTATTTTACATATATTATTAATATTTATGAATTAATTGTTTCTTAGCATTTAACAGAAAATTTAAGAAACTAAAATAAAGTTGAGTCATTTATGTTATGATTTCGTCGAATTTTTGGTTAAGGGAGGATTTTTGTTAGCAATAGCCACTTACCATACGTATATCAAACTTTCAGGCATTCCAACACGATTTCCCATAATTGCCGTAATAATATACCTAATTAATTCTTCCAAATCACGTAATGCTAACTACAAATTAACATGTAATTTGGTTTGATTGATGTAATTCCAGCTTTCGTTCTATGAAGTAGTTTACAGTTATAATAAAACCGTCAATTTTTTCAATGAGATAAACCAGTATAGATTTATTTATAATATTAGAACCTTTTTAATATACATAAAAATATTCGCAACGTTGGTTGTGCATGTCAATAAAAATTGCACTTTCTGCTTATCATTGTCATATCGGGAAGACTTTGATTTTTTTTAAAATTATATACATATTCAGTTTTATATGCATTTGTTTTTTTATCATACCATTGGCCATTCACAATGTGAATAATAAATAAATAATTAAAATAAAGATTTGCAGAACATAAAATAATTCACCAGTTCAGGGTTTTCTTGGAATTAGATCATTGATTAATTTGTATATTACTAATAGTAGCAAATAGCCATATTATCGGGCATGCTAAACTATTAACCCACCTGTAACGCAATGCTTACGCAAGTGAGCACGCGAAGGTCGCACTCAATGATATAATGGGTACAATTAAGGCAGATTTTACTCTCCAAATGCAATACCTCAAACTTAATTACATCCTTTCAGTTTGTTGTTTCTTTCTGTTATGCAAATTATAGACGATGCTGCACAGCAATTATTTCATGTTATGGAAATAACAAGTATAATAACAGCAATATTACTGAATTACACTTTGAAATGACTGCGTCTGTTTGTTTCAGATTATGTAAGACAGGGCAAGACACTGGTGGCAAAACACTTTCACGCAGTCTTCCTTTTCTGCGGTCTATTTAAAGTGAGTCTTGTTTTGTTATTTTGATATCTTGTATAATAAAAATGAAATGCTGTTCGTTTGTAAGCGCATTACTTCAGAACGGAACCCTGGACCGATCACCAAATAAAGGTTTTTTGGGGTTAAAATTGGATAAGCTGAACGGAAAATTGAGAAACTCAGGGGAAACTGACAGTGTTTTTTTTATATATAACAATTTTTATGACCATAAAAATTTTGAGTTTTGTTGAAATTGGGACAGAACACCGTCTCGGGTCAGCTAGTCTTGAGTTATTCTTTACCTTTCGCATGTTTAATATTCAATTAGTTCAAATTAAATTTGTAAACATTGATCAAAAAAGTACTAGATATACAATCAACTACAAAAAATGTCCTCACCTAATAAGCGCTCATTTGAACGACCTTTTATTTTTATTTTTTGTAAAAACAACTGTTAGCATTGCATTTAAGGTTCAATTAAAATTGATATATATTTATTTCAACTAGAATAATTACCTAAATATACTTAATTGGTGACAGTTTTAAGAGAACTTTATTTTTATTTTTTGTGAAAACAACTGTTAGCATTGCATTTAAGGTTCAATTTAAATTGATATATATTTATTTCAACTAGAATAATTACCTAGACATACTTAATTGGTGACAGTTTTAAGAGAACTTGCATGGGATTGTGTATCTAGTACTTTTCTGATAGATGTTTGTAAAATTATTTCTACTTATGCGTCTCTGTTGGTACTTTTACGCACGTGGCTGTTTTTTTGAATAACTGCGTCCAATTACGGCTCCTTTAAAAAGTTTTATTGTTTTATCAACATTTATTTCTTAACATTTTAAAATTACTTTTAAATAACTTCAATTTTTTACTTTTCCGAAGTAAATCCGCTTAGCTTTAACTGAACGATTACGTTGTCGTTGCCAGTCACATGTCCTCGAGATGTGATAAGCTATCAAGGAGCCGACTAAGTCGATTATAGTCCACTTTAACACTATCAACCGTATCTCTTTAGGAAATACGGGCTGCCATTTGATTATATGTTACTCAAGTTCAATAAGCTAATTGCTGATATCAATATTTGATCTATACTAATATTATAAAGAGGAAAGATTTGATTTTTTGTTTGTTTGTTTGTTTGTTTGTTTGTACTGAATAGGCTCCGAAAGTACTGAACCGATTTAGATTCAATTTGGTAAAAAGATAGTTTTTAACCTTGGCAAGGACATAAGATAGTTTCTATCCCTGAAATCATCCCTTAAGGTGCTGAAAATGGGGATGAAAGTTTGTATGGGGAATCAACCTAGGGACAAACCCCAGCGAAGCCAAGGTAAGTCGCTAGTTATAAATATAATCGCATGAATAAGTGTAGATTTTTTCTTATGTACAGTGTATAAATGTATAGAACTAGCCCTTACCAGTGGCAGTACTCGCGTAGTTTTGCTTTCGTGTTCAAACCAATAAACAAGCGAACTCTTCACCTTTATAAATTAATATAGATTAAGTATTGCACAACAAAATTAACTTATCAGACTGTAAGTTATCGAAATAATTAATAATATCTAAATGTGTACATTCAATTTCCTTTCCAGGCTAACGACATCAGCCGATATGCGCCTGATCCGCCCAAACCGGCACCGCAGTGACAACGTTAACGCCAAATTAATCGTTCCATCACTTTACTTATCTACGTAGTCAGTTAGTTAGTTCATTTACACGTGCGTTGTGAAACACACATGTGAAGTGAGGTGCGAGTGCTAGTGCTATAGTAATCGGGTCGAACCGGCCCGATGTTGGAGTCATGGCGTTCATGACGAAGAAAAAGAGATATAAGTTTGAGGTACAGTGTTGCTTGGAGGAGCTGACGGAGGTACCATTCGTGTCTGCCGTGCTCTTCGCCAAGGTGCGGCTGCTCGACGGTGGCAACTTTCAGGATCATTCTAGCAGGTTAGTTGCTTGTGCCCTAAAACCATAAATAACTTAATTACTTGTAAAGGAAAAAAATTGTATATTTATAGGAATGTTGTTTGTGCAATCTTCTACTGAAAATATTTCTTTTATTGGTAGATACAGTATGTAATAACTATAACCTTAGAGACGTCAAAAACCTTAATCTTTCTCGTGATATATTAAAGTATATATAGTATAACTGCCTCGGTGGTATAGTGGCTAGCATGTACGGCTGCACACCCGGAGGTCCTGGGTTCGAGTCCCGGGTCGGGCCAAGTTTAGTTATTGAGTCTTTCTGTATAGTAAGTCTCAGTAACAGCCCGGAGTTGGGAAGTTGGCGGTGTGTCACCCCCGTGCCTCGGAGAGCACGTAAAGCCGTCGGTCCTGCGCCTTAACTCTCACCGGTCGTAACGAACAGTCGTCCCGCCGGAGTACGAGAGTGACAGGAATAGAGAGTGCACTGCACTTATGTCTGTGCGCGTACACTTGTGCACTATAATATCTACTGCGCAGCTGGCTAATCTCAATGAGATTGGCCGCCGTAGCCGGAATCGGCTAGGAGAACATCATCATATACGAAACGTCGTGTCGGGAATAAAAACGTCAAAATAAAAGCGCGATAAAATCCGAAATTATAATTTTATTTAAAATGTATTTGTAATTTTTTATGCAGTCTACAGAGCTTTATCTAAGCTTAAAGTTCTATCCTGAACGATACAATCCGTTTTACGTAAGTCAGGTATTTAATACCTGGGCTTACAAAGGTAAAGCTTGTGATGTACAAAGTTTTAGAAATATCGAATTAAAAATAAAGAGCTTTTCGTCTAAAAGGGTCTCTAATACCTTTATATTACCTTTTTTAATTTATGAACATTTATGGATTCACTAAGCCTAAGTGCAGTAAAGAGGAAGAATACATGTTTACCTACTCATATATTTTTATATTAAACTAGCGACTCGAAAAACATAAACAAATTATCCCACGGGGACCGTATATTTTTTCGGGATAAAAAGTTACCTATGTGCTATTTCAGACTATAATCTATCTCTGTGCCAAATTTTTTTCATTTATATAGCAGTAAGATTAACCTACCTTTTCATACTAGCAAGTAGCAACAGCTTTATTATAAAGTGTTTATTAACATTAGATATTAAAGTTACACGTTCTATGACTAATTTTTCGTCGGACATGCCACTAACTATGATGCAACTAATATCGACATAAAAGTGCGATATATCAACTCGCGGCACAAGATTTAGAGACAGGTCGCACCACGCCCGGCGCTTGCGCAACGCTTCCTCATCCAGATGTAGACCCCCGGTAGAGAATGCACCTAATTGACGATCTTTCATTATTGAAAAACATCAAGGAAATTGAAAGTTGATTTATGAAACCTCGTGTTGTAAAAGCGAAAGCTAATAAAAAATAATTTTAATTTCTTTCTACCAGTAAATCTAATATTATACTTGGAAAAAAAATCGCTTACTTGTTATTTCTGTAAAGTTATGGTAAAGACGATGGTGTGGACCATTTCATTATTATATGTATAGGATCTCATAGAACGAGGAGGTCAAGCTGTGTCTCATTAAACTCAGTCCAGCCGTACTTGAGTCATTAATAAATTCAATTAAAAATTCAAATATACTAATCTAAATTTTTTGATTTTAAGTGAATTAAAAATCAAACACATATTAGTAAAAAGTAAATATTTATATAGACACTAGCGACTTATTCTCGGGTGCGTCCCTAGTTTGTTATTCGCAAAAACCATGGGTTTTAATTTTTTTTGTGCGGAACCCTCATAATCCTTTTTTCTTAAATAAAAGTAGCCTAAGTTAATCCTTATAAGATCAGCTCTCTGCCAATGAAAGTCCCGTCAAAATCAGTCCAGCCGCTTCGTAGATTATCCGGAGCCCGGAACAAACAGACAGACAGACAAAAATTTTAAAATTGTTTCTTTTATTATAAGTATCGTATGTACTTTCATAATTCATATGTATTTAGTAAAGAAACTGCTATTTTGACATTACAAACATTTTCAATCTGTATAGATTACAATATTTCCAATACCTTTAATGAAAGTACATTTAAATAATGTCTGTGTGTAAACTACAATTTTATCTTGTTATTATACATAGTTAAATAAGTGATAAACGAAGATAGCGGCGAGGCTAACAATTTCCAATTAATCACTATCAAACGCAAATGAAATGTAATAATTTACATCGGCAGATTGCTTTGTTATGTCAGTTTAAATAATATTGTATGTATTCCATTGTTACGATTTATTGGTAACGAATAGTATTATTGCAAACTAAAATATCGATGTAGATCCCGAGTGAAGGTTTTTTTGTAAGTTTAAGGTAGTCACATCGTGGTGCTAATTTATGCAAATGAAGGATGCGCGTGGTTTGTGACTCACTATGATCATATAAACGCATGTACTCGTAATTGGGTGAGAATTTACTGCTCGCTTGTTTCGTATAAACTTTATTTATCAATTAGATTATATCGTGGACTAATTTTTAAATTTAATTAACGCTGTGTTACTCACGACGTAGGGTGAATATTTTCCGTTTAAATGGGAGGTGGATACTTCATAATATCTAGTAAGTAGTAATCAGTATCGTAGAACTGGATGATGCTGTGTGTTAATGTCCCAACATACCTATCTAATATCTATTAATTTTAAACTAAACTTTGCAACTTGTTTATTAAAATACTAGCGACTCACCCTCGCTTCGCTCGGGTTCGTCCCTGGCTTGATTCCCCATACAAACTTTCATCCCCATTTTCACCGCCTTAAGGGATGATTTTCGGGATAAAAAGTATCCTATGTCCTTCCCAGGGTCTCAAACTATCTTCTTACCAAATTTCATCTAAATCGGTTCAGTAGATCCAGAGATTACCCCTACAACGTCACAAACTCACAAACTTTACCTCTTTGTAATATTAGTATAGTTATGTTAGTACAAATAATAATAGGTATTTTATTACAAGAATAATTTATTACTCATACTTTTGTTCCGTTGGAGGAACTAAACGATAAAATATCGCCGGATAGAATTCCAGAGTGTCGACACGACGGGTTGAGTTCCGATCAGCGGAAGCGATGCAGTTATCCAATCGCGAAGGCTGTAATAGAATAGAGAATACAAAATATATACACATCACTTATTACATGTAATAATACATAAATATCTATTGCAAAAGATTTCGGCGAATAATGGAAATTGTTTTAATTAACGAGTTATATATTTATTGGACGTAAGGAAAAAAAAAGATTCATAATAAAAATATTTATAATTAATTAATTATATCTAGCCTATAAAAATATTATATCTACCCTGTATCCTTTACCTTAAGACAGCTGGTGACCTTTTTCCTTCCGCTGTTTAATGATCGCGTTTCAATAGATAAACTCGTTCTATATTCTGAGCGTACTTCATACATAGGTTAACTAAATACATACGTAATATTGTTGTCTTTTACAAATTGAATCTATGTATGTATATTTGATTTTATACTTACCATAGACTGTATCGATTAGGACGATTTATTTTTAACTGGTTCGATTACCGGCTCAGGTGAGCTTTTTTACATAATATTTAAATGCAGTTATTTTTTATCAAATAAAGGAATGTTTTCTTGACGAAAACTTGAAATGTTCAATGTTTAAGGTACTTTTCTTTCATGGCCCGTTCATTTGTTCCACCCCGTATACAAAAGCATATATATATATATATTTAAATTTTAACATATACAACAAGGACATGTAGGTACTTAAAATTATAGCGTAACAATTAGCCGATAAACCGAATTCCATCTAAATATGGATACAGTGTTTAATTAGATACTTGAGCTATTTTCACTTGTCATAATATAGACAAGTTACGCCCTCGTCTGATGGGAAGTGGGTAGTTAGGGACCCCTCTGGATGCAGAGGAATGCGGAGGCGTCCGGCTCTGAGCCTCGTAATTGAGGCTTACCAGATGCATTTGAGCTTCAAATCATATTGAACACGTTGCCTAGACAGAAATCCCTAGGCATTTGGCGTCTGCCTAGAATGTACAAAGGAATTTGTCACAAAGGCTTTTGTACGTTACATAGAATTGAACTAAAATTAATTTATCTTTTAATTAAACTATACTATTCGTATTTTTCTTTAACCGTCCGTCAATATTTGGTACGTCCTTTAAGGATACGAATCATTAAATAAAACAATTTTTCCACAATTTTGATGATAACATTTGAAAACGTTGTTTGAGTAGGTGGACAATCTAAAAGTCTACAAATAAAGTGTTAAGTTGGTGCTGACGTGTAGTACATTCTAAATGAAAATAACAGTTTCATATATCATTATCTATAATCACATATTTCTTCCGAGTAAACTGTTAGAAAATGTAAAAGTGGTAAAGTTGAACACTTTTAACCTTTATTGTAGTTTTATATTTTATATTGTTTTATGTCGTCATAAAAATCGTATGTCACAAAATCGTATTTTTTTATAGGATACAAATATTAACCAAAGAATATAAAATATATGTATATAACTAAAAATAAAAAAATAATATATAAATTATTATTTATTGATCTTTTATCAAAAAAGGTACTTTAATTTCATCTTACTAATATTATAAATGTGAAAGTTTAGATTGATGGATGTTTAATAACTCAATCACGCCAGAATGGCTGAACAGATCTGGATGAAATTCGGCACAAAGATTATAGTCTGGAAAGGCAAGCACATAGGCTACTTTTCATCCCGGAAAAATATATGTTCCCACGGGATAGATTTGTTATTGTTTATCATATTAAGTATGGATTCGAATTCGATGTATAATTTTTGTCCTACTCTGTGTTCACCACTAAAGCTCTACTTGCAAAACAAAATGTTCATTACTATCGTGTTAATTGCTTCGCGATTCCAAATATTTACCAATTAGTTAATATGTTTTTGTCGTTATTAATTGGTGTTTATATTCCAATGCCATTT